TCATTATGTTGATCATATCTACTATATGATTCACGCTCGACCTTTCGGTCTCCAGTGTTCCGAGGCCATATCTGCATATGCTAGGCTCGTCAAGTTTAACCCGAGTATTTCTGCGTGTGCAAAACTGGCTTGCACCCGTTGTAGAAGGACGTAGAGCTTATCACACCCGATCATCACGTGGTATCTGGGCACGACGAACTTTGGCAATGGTGCATACTCAGGGAGAACACTTTTATCTTAAAATTTAGTGAGAGATCATCTTATAATGCTACCGTCAAAACTAAGCAAAGTAAGATGTATAAAAGATAAACATCACATGCAATCAAAATATGTGACATGATATGGCCATCATCATCTTGTGCCTTTGATCTCTATCTCTAAAGCATCGTCATGATCTCCATCGTCATCGGCATGACACCATGATCTCCATCATCTTGATCTATATCAATGTGTCGTTACATGGTCGTCTCGCCAACTATTGCTCTTGCAACTATTGCTATCGCATAGCGATAAAGTAAAGCAATTTTGTCACTTGCATCTTATGCAATAAAGAGACAACCATAAGGCTTCTGCCAATTATCGATAACTTCAACAAAACATGATCATCTCATACAACAACTTATATCTCATCACGTCTTGACCATATCACATCACAATATGCCCTGCAAAAACAAGTTAGACGTTCTCTACTTTGTTGTTGCAAGTTTTACGTGGCTGCTACGGGCTGAGTAAGAACCGTTCTTACCTACGATTCAAAACCACAACGATAGTTTGTCAAGTTGGTGTTGTTTTAACCTTTGCAAGGACCAGGCGTAGCCACACTCGGTTCAACTAAAGTTGGAGAAACTGACACCCGCCAGCCACCTGTGTGCAAAGCACGTCGGTAGAACCAGTCTCGCGTAAGCGTATGCGTAATATCGGTCCGGGCCACTTCATCCAACAATACCGCCGAACCAAAGTATGACATGCTGGTAAGCAGTATGACATATATCGCCCACAACTCACTTGTGTTCTACTCGTGCATATGACATCTACGCATAAAACCAGGCTCGGATGCCACTGTTGGGGAACGTAGTAATTTCAAAAAAAATCCTACGCACACTCAAGATCATGGTGATGCATAGAAACGAGAGGGGAGAGTGTGTCCACATACCCTCGTAGACCGAAAGCGGGAGCGTTAGCACAACGCGGTTGATGTAGTCGTACGTCTTCACGATCCGACCGATCAAGTACCGGACACACGGCACCTCCGAGTTCTGCACACGTTCAACTCGATGATGTCCCTCGAACTCCGGTCCAGCCGAGTGTTCAGGGAGAGTTTCGTCAGCACGACGGCGTGGTGACGATGATGATGTTCTACCGACGCAAGGCTTCGCCTAAGCACCGCTACGATATGACCGAGGTGGATTATGATGGAGGGGGGCACCGCACACGGCTAAGAGATCAAAGGGATCAATTGTTGTGTCTTTGGGGTGCCCCTGTCCCAGTATATAAAGGAGTGGAGGAGGGGGAGGGCCGACCCTCTCTATGGCGCGCTCTAGGGGAGTCCTACTCCCACCGGGAGTAGGATTCCCCCTTTCCTAGTAGAACTAGGAACCCTTCCAAGTAGTAGGAGTAAGAGGGAAGGAAAGGAAAGGGAAAAGGAGAAGGAAGGAAGGGGGCGCCTCCCCTCCCTAGTCCAATTCGGACCAGTCCATGGGGAGGGGTGCGGCCACCCTTTGAGGCCTTTCTCTCCTTTCCCGTATGGCCCATTAAGGCCCAATACGAATTCCCGTAACTCCCCAGTACTCCCGAAAATACTCGAATCACTCAGAACCTTTCCGATGTCCGAATATAGTCGTCCAATATATCGATCTTTACATCTCGACCATTTCGAGACTCCTCGTCATGTCCCCGATCTCATCCGGGACTCCAAACTCCTTCGGTACATCAAAACACATAAACTCATAATATAACCGTCATCGAACTTTAAGCGTGCGGACCCTACGGGTTCGAGAACTATGTAGACATGACCGGGACACGTCTCCGGTCAATAACCAATAGTGGAACCTGGATGCTCATATTGGCTCCTACATATTATACGAAGATCTTTATCGGTCAAATCGCATAACAACATACGTTGTTCCCTTTGTCATTGGTATGTTACTTGCCCGAGATTCGATCGTCGGTATCTCAATACCTAGTTCAATCTCATTACCAGCAAGTCTCTTTGCTCGTTCTGTAATACATCATCCCGCAACTAACTCATTAGTTGCAATGCTTGCAAGGCTTATAGTGATGTGCATTACCGAGTGGGCCCAGAGATACCTCTCTGACAATCGGAGTGACAAATCCTAATCTCGAAATACGCCAACCCAACATGTACCTTTGGAGACACATGTAGAGCTCCTTTATAATCACCCAGTTACGTTGTGACGTTTGGTAGCACACAAAGTGTTCCTCCGGTAAACGGGAGTTGCATAATCTCATAGTCATAGGAACATGTATAAGTCATGAAGAAAGCAATAGCAACAAACTGAACAATCAAGTGCTATGCTAACGGAATGGGTGAAGTCAATCACATCATTCTCCTAATGATGTGATCCCGTTAATCAAATGACAACTCATGTCTATGGTTAGGAAACTTAACCATCTTTGATCAACGAGCTAGTCAAGTAGAGGCATACTAGTGACACTCTGTTTGTCTATGTATTCACACATGTATTATGTTTCCGGTTAATACAATTCTAGCATGAATAATAAACATTTATCATGATATAAGGAAATAAATAATAACTTCATTATTGCCTCTAGGGCATATTTTCTTCAATCCCCAAAGTGCTTGACAGTGTCAGTGAAAAACTGGATGTCCTCCTTGATGGGCGCAAGAAAAATCGTGGCGTCATCTACATAAAGCAAAGCTCAGATAGCCATAGCATTTCCACCAAGGGGTGTAGATTTCCTTGAGCCATGCTCTTTGCCAGGATGTGGTGCGGCGAGTCGATGGCGAGCACGAATAACGAGGGGAGGGGGGTTAGAGGGTCCCCTTGCCTCAACCACCGACCTAGCTTAATGGGATCGCCGGGCACGCCATTAAGCAGAACACGAGACGAAGCCGACGACAGCAGGACCGAAACCCAACCTCTGAAGCGAGGCGGAAAACCAAGGTGTCGAAGTAGGTTGAGGAGGAAGTCCCAATGCACCAAGTCAAAGGCTTTTTTATGTCAAGTTTAAAGAGCAACGCCAGGGTTTCCCTGTGATAGAAGCGTCTCGCGAGACTGCGCACATACATGAAGTTGTCATGGATGCATCTTCTTTAAATAAATGCACTTTAGGCGTGTGAGACCAGCTCATTCATGTGCGGGGCAAGCCGGTTGGACATCATCTTATCAATTAGCTTAGCAACGACATGGATAAGACTGATGGGACGAGAATCGCCGATGTTCTCGACACCATCCTTCTTCAAAATAAGAGCAATGTCGGTAGAATTCAACCAATGAAAGTGCGTAGCATGAAGATCAGAGAAATGGTTGATGGCAAGCATGATGTCAGGCTTGATAGTATCCCAGCATTCCTTGAGAAAGGCACCCATGAATCCATCGGGGCCCGGTGCCTTGTCACTAGGCATGAAAAAAATAGCTCTCTTAGTTTCCTCCTCGGTGAAGGCCTCTCCCCTCGGTGAAGGCCTCTCCCAATACATGAAGGTCATAATTGGGCGTGCGAATGATTTCCCAATTGATGTCAATGTCATGTGAAGGGCCCTTTTTGCGATGTTCTTGAAGTGGCGGTGGACAATGTTTTTTTTGTGAAGGGCCTCTTTTGCGATGTTCTGAAAATGGCGGTGGATAATGTTTGCCTTGTGCCCATGCTCGGTGACTCAATCGTTGTTGTGCTTGAGGCGGTGAATGAATTTCTTTTCTCCTTCAATGGTTGACACGTAGGTGGAAGAAACGGAGTGTTGGGATCTCCTTCTTTGAGGTAGGTGGAAGAAACGAGTGTTTGGCTCTCCTTCTTTGAGGTTAGTGATTCTGGAGTTTGACGCTCCCTAACCTTCTCCAACACGACAAAGCTAATAATCTTTTTCCTAAGCCTTTTACTGATGTCACTTTCTTCTAGACTAAGGCCCTGTTTGGTTCGGCTGTGGATTTCTAAAAGCAGTTGTGAAAAATCTGCTGTGGAAAAATAGCTGTGGAAAATTTGATGTGAAAAAGATGTTGGTCATTTGGCAAACCAGCTGATACAGATTTTTCAGATTTTGACCCGCAGCGGAATCAGATTTTGGAAAGCACGTCCTGACCTGCTTCCGCTTTTGATTCAGATTTTGGCAGCGGATTTCTGAAATCGAATTCTGTTGGGTTCTCTCTTTGGTTCAGATTTTGCTGCGCGGCAGCGAAATCCGTCGATAAAAATTGAACCAAACAGAGCCTAAGAACTCTTTTCTCTTGCGCTAAATCGGGGTGGAGAACGACTTTGAGGGCCATGTGGAGTTGGACCTTCGAGTTGGCAAAGAGGGTCTTGCTCCAAGCACAGAATTTTTGGCTTGTCTTCTTTAAGCTTGTGGAAGAGCCTTTGTAGGGCTCAACATGCCTTGTTTCCTCCCAAGCATCACTGACCACCTGTTGGAAGCCCGGCATTTTGATCGGGTAGTTTTTGAGGTGGAAGGACTTGGGTCTCTTGGGCCCATCATCGTTAGCAAGCAAAAGGGGACAATGGTCGGATAAAGATGATGAGAGGGCATGAAGTTGAGAGGATAATGCTGCATCTTTATCTCAAAGTTGAGAAATTGCACCTGAACTGAACTTAAACCGCGACAAATCATGCCATAAAAAGGCCACACAAACGCTAGCGATTTCCTAACTTACCACACACAACACGTATTCACATATTCTACGCAACATCAACCAGCAGTAAGCATTTTATACAAAACCAAACCATCTAAACATCAGACGCCACATTGGTGGACAAAGATCATAGGCACTCACATATATACACACACATTTTGAGATCCAGAGCAAAGGATCTCAGCTGTCCTGCAGCTGAGCAGAGCGGCTGGTGAGAGGGACGTAGCGAACAGAGGCATCGTTGCGGGTGCTGATGGATCCGTCGGAGCTCTTGTCGATCACCTGCAGGTCCTGAGAGTATGTGCCGACGGGTATGACCATCCGCCCGCCAGGCTTCAGCTGTTCTAGCAGCGGCCTAGGGATCTCGGGTGCCGCTGCGCCCACATGAATAGCATCGTATGGCGCCACATCCGGCCAGCCGAGCCTTCCATCTGTGGTTTTGTGAATTGCAACAGGACAACTTTGAGCTCCAGATGTTTTGGACTTCCATAGAAATATTTGCTTTATCATAGTATGCATATCATATCGGCTTGACGTTTTGAGGCTATAAAACGACCAGCGGAAATTAAAATTTCATTGATGTGTTGAATGGCTCAACACACCATAGTACCAACTAGCATACCTGAAACATGAAGAGAAAGTGAACCATCCTTCAGTAGTGCTGCTGCAGCACTCCGTTCAACATTTTCAGTTGAAGCAGCAACAAGCTCAGGAATGTGTTCAATCCCCACTGCGCGACCTTCTGGTCCGACCATCATTGCAAAACAAGCTGTCAAGTAGCCACTGCCTGTGATAGGAAATGGATGAAGATGGCAGTAGTTTGAGACAAAAGTGTCAGTTGGATATTGATAAAGTTATTTATTTATACAGATACAGGTGTATCATCTGAAGGCACTAAACAGAGTGACAGCGTATCAGGCTGTCAGCAACAAACCTGATCCAACATCTAGAGCATGCATGCCTGGCTGTAAATGATCCTTCAAAAGTTCTAAGCAGGTTGCATGCATGTGAGGAGCAGATATCGTTGCATTGTAACCAATAGGCATAGGACTGTCAATGTAAGGGGTAAAGCCCTCTGGTACAAATAGGGCTCGATCGATAGTTTCCATAACTTCTGCCACTTTATCTGTTCGAACAACACCATACTGTTTCAGGTATTCAACCAGAGCGTTGTTCTTCTCCAGTGATCCTTCAGTCCAAAATTGCTGCAAGTTAAACAACAGATGCTGAGATGTACTCCCTCCGTTCCGAATTACTTGTCACGGGTACGGATGTATCTAGATGTATTTTAGTTCTAGATACATCCATTTCTACGACGAGTAATTTGAAACGGAGGGAGTAGCCCTCATAGGTGAACTCCAGTGCTTGCCGTCACTGAGCAGCAACGACTATGTGCTTCACTAAAACATTCACAGTGTGCCAAAAATATATGATGATCGCAGATTTCATTACATTGATATCGCATAACACTGTCGCATTTGTTAGGAGTAAACTGCCCTTTCCAAAATAAAATGTTTGTGGGCACATAATTCCCAGTTTCTGCAACAGATAAGCTACCTTCACAGCATAGTTAGGTTCAGATTTAACCTATATTATCACACTCAAGGTGCCACGCTTGCACAAGATAGCTTAACACTATTGAATTTTCAGCACCAACCGGTAAAAAAGATCAGTAGCATGGCTTCACTCATAGCTGGACCTGCTAGAAGCCAAGTTCACCATCATACTCTTGTGCTCTCCCGCCCTCAAAATCATAATCGCTCTCCTTTAGAGCTATACAAGACTAAAATCCACCGATCAGCTAGAGCCTAGGGCTAGCCCTCCCGATTTCCAAATCTCTCTCGAGTCCAAACGCGCAACTAAGATATCCTGAATCGGCTTAAACTCGAGGGTGCAGGTTAATTAATCATCCAATTTGCCGCGGCAATCGTCAAACAGTTATGCAGGATGGCAGTACAACAAACAAAAAAGGGGAAGGAGAAGGGTAGGGCGTCACGTGTGCTGCTACGTACCGCCATCCAGTGGTACGGGGAGCAGCGACGAAGCTGCGGCGGCCTCGGGGGCGCGGCGAGGAGGTGGTGGAGGAACCGGCGGCGGGCGGCCGTGGAGGGCGACAGGAAGCGGCACGACGGGGAGGCTGCGGCGGCGAGGGACATGGCGCTGGCGCGTGGAGTTCGGCTATAAGAGGGGTAAGGGGGGCGAGGCGAACAGGTGTGGGAAGCTCGGCCCGCCGTGGCGATGCACGGGAGCCTCGTCTCGACAGGTGGTCGCGCCGCCGTTCTTTCTAGTCCTAGCGTGGCTGCACCGCACGCATCCAGAGACCCAACGGCGGAGCTTCGTGGGGGAATATCCTATTTGACGCATTTTGCGTCAAACTGTCGACGCGCCGTACACCCCTTCGCCTAATTTGGGCCGGCCTTTTTAATACATGTTCGCTGTTTCTCCGTTCCTCTTCCTCGAGTCACTGTTTCCCCGTTCCTCTTCCTCGTCCCGCATCTCCCGTCTTCTTCCTCCCTCGTCCCGCATCCATCGTACTCTTCCTCCCTCGTCCCGCATCCCACTTCCTCCCTCTTCGTCTGCTTTTTCCTACAGGGATCCCGCTCCGATAAGAGGCCGCCGCCCTGGTAAGCAGCCGACGGACCTCTTTCCCGTTGAATCGTCCGAGGCATCGCCGATTAGATCTGGCGGATGTCGTCGTGATGGATGCTTTTTTGCAGGTGGTCACTGCTTCCTCGTCGGCGTCGGCGTCGTCTAGGGTTCCGTCAAGATCGGGTCATCTAGGGTTCCATCGATCTTCGTCAAGTTCGTCATCTTCAAGGTAATGCCCCCAGTTCCCTCTTCTGTGTTCTTGTCAAGCTGGTTCGTGTCCTCTGTGTGTGATTTTGCAAGATCAAGACGTTTTTTCCCGTTTGTGTCGGTCCAGCGTTTCTAGGGTTTGTAGGAGGTTTGGTGGTAGCAGTGGAGCGATTTTTTCAGTCTGATTTGGGTGAATATGAGACTAGACAAGGTCCCTTTGGAGCGATTTTTTCAGTTTGGTTTCCCGGATGTGATTTAGAATTTGGAATCAGGTTATGAATACAGCATAATGATGGTAGGAGGTTGTCTGTTTCATGCGGTTGCCCTTGGAATTTTGTGTGTGTGTTTATGTTGATGATGATAGGACACTTGTTAGTTTCTGTAATGTGTAAATTTGTTTGAACATTGTGTGTTCACTCAAATGATTGTTCTTGTACTACATCACATCTAAATTTTATAACATCAATTTTTTTTGAACTTTTTGACATGGATGAACATTTTCTGAAATTGAGGATCAAAAAATGTTCGCCAATTTGAAAAAGTGTTCTAGAAAAATTCAGAAAATAAAATAATGTGAATTGTTTAGAAAATTTAGAAAAACAAGGAAACAGAAGAGGAAGAAAATAAATTTTAGAAAATAAATTTTAGAAAAATTGGGTGTTAGGGCTACATATCCTTCTTGCATTGGAATTAGTCCTTCATCACTTCTGCTTTCTTGGCAATCAGTTGGCATCTTCTGCTTTTTTGTGTATAATGTAACTATGAGTGATACTATGTACTTCTCTTCTGTTTTGCAGAATTAATTTTTGTTTCAGCAGCTTACATTTACATGAACGTTTTTTTATACCTAAAATTTCAGCACCTTACTTTTTATTATTTTTATACAGCTCTCACTCAACTGTCAAAATGCCTAAACTTTACAAATACCCTCCGGGTAGTATCAAACACAGATTCTCTACCATTAGGTGGTGTAAGGCAGTTGCTGATTTAACTGACATCCGGAAGTCATATGTTACGAAATATGAGCTTGATCATCTCCTGAACATTCACCCTCATTTAATGATTCCAATTCCAGTACTGCAATGGGTTGCGAACCACTTAAATTGTAATGGAACAGGAGTTTTCAGGAAGGGTCAAAAGATAATTCATCTGAGAAGGGAAATGGTAATTCAAGTTTTTGGTATTCGTTCTAGTTCCGTGCCTTTTCCTATGGACAGCACAGATCAAGTTATCGTGGCTAGAGTATTGGAACTTAGGTCTGAGTATCTTGGTGCTGGGGAGAAGAACATTTCATTTGATAACATAATCACCAAGATGAAAAATGATGAGACTGAGGAAGGCTTCATACGGAGCTTCATGTTTCTGTTCATAACATCTGTTTTATGTCCAACCACTCGGAACTATGCAAACTGGAAACTTCTTTATGGGCTGGATGACATTACCAAGCTGAAGACCTTTGATTTGGCTCAGTTGTGCATTGATCACCTGAACAATGAAATTGATAACTTCAGCACTAAACTCTTCAATAGAGCTGAAGTTCCATTGAATGATTCAATCTATGTTGGTGGATGTTTACCGTTGGCTGCTGTAAGTTTTCTTTCCTCTGTCATTTTCAATTTTTTACATAGACTTTAGTTCTGCAATCTTTTTTTATAGTCACTGATTACCTCTTATATCTTCTCTTATGATTCACAACCTTCCTAGATTGTGTATCTGGACTTTGTAGACTTCACAAAAGCTTCTAAACAACGAAACATCAATTATGGAGTCCCTAGAATTGCACATGTTCAGAATGAAGACTTTGACTATCTAGCTACAGTGAATCTGAACAGAGCTTCCAAGAAGAGTTTTGCATTGGGTTTCTTACCAGTAAGCTTCTTGTATAAATTTGTTGTTGTTCATTTTTCAAGTTAGCAAAAAGATTTTTCTTCTACAAGCAATCTAGAAGGAGCAAATCTTGTCATTTATAATCCTTTTCAATTGCATTTTTTTTGTGCAGTTGAAAGACATCTCTACGACACCTTATAGTGCTCGTGCAATTGTATTGGCTGAGGAGAAGTGGTCCAAAGCGCCAGAGTCTTTTCATAATGATGAAAATGACATTCCAAACCAAAATGACAGAGAAAATGTTGCATCTACTTCGAACAACAATCCAGAAGTATGTTGGCCTGCTTTTTTTCTTTTCTTAATAGATATTAGTGTTGTCACTTTACTTTCATACCAGAAACTAATACACATATATCTGTTCTGTTTGCTCAAACTAATAGGTTATGAAGATAGTCTCTAAAATAGTTGCAAAACATGATGTCATTTGGAAGAAGTTCCATGAAGAGCATGTACAGAGTATGCTAGCAGAACTCAAAGCAACTGTCTTGTCTTTACAGCAAATTCTAGCAGCCAAGTCAATGATGCTGGCATTTCAACCACGAATCCAATTGTTCTTCTGTCTGGAGCCAGCAACAAAAATGTTCTCAGAGAACCATTAAATCCTGGCAATCGCACACTCCAAGTTAACAGTGAGGCAATTACAGGTTCTTTATTTGACGACCATATCAGAGTCATTCCTACTCCAGTTGTTACCAAGGATAACCAAGTTCAAATTTCCGATGAAGTTCAAAAGCAAGTGTCATTACCTCAGCAATTCCAGGAAAATGAGCAAGCACAAACAGGTGTGGACAATGATATTCATTCTGATAACACATTTGGTCAACATTTTTTCTTTTACTCAAACTAGTCATAGCACTCAATTTGTTGTTCATGAGGCAGTTTTATTAGTACTCAGTTTCCTGTTCCTGACATCACTATTATGGTAAATACATTCATTCTGTAAACACATTCTGACATCACTATTTTTTGCCATTTTCAGGTACCGTTTCTGAGGCAGTTCATACTAAATCAACTGGATTCCTGGAACCACTGGATTCTGTTCATCCTACAAGTGTTACTGAAGCAAATCAGATAGATTCTCAAAATTTCAACTCTATGACAGTAAATCTGCAGGAAACTCCTCTGGAAACTCATTTTCTGTGAGAGAAAATGTTCAGTTACTGAATGAGCAAAAGCCAGGTGATGTTAGACCTGCCAGTCAGACACCAAACAATGAATCATCTTCCTGTCCCATCTCTCCTTTTCTAGTTCAGAACAATCCTAGTCTCGAGATCATATTGTCTCCTTCGAGCAACATTATAATTGAAGATGCCTCCACACCAACAAATCTGAATTCACAATCAATTGACAATGTTGCAACTGGCATTGAAATTGCCATGAAGTATGGAGATGATTTATTAGTCGAAGAAGTTGTCAAGTCTGTTCCCAAAGGTAACTCAAAACATTTTTTATCATCTCCCCATCCTGCTGTTCCATTGTTTTGCTTTTTGCTTCACTGATTTTGTTCTTGCAATGCCCTGTCTTTTTTTATATGTTTCATTGTGTTGTCAGCACAATACTTATTATATGCAACTGCTTAATTGGACAGATCCTCTAGTACCTGAGAAGCAGTCATCTGATGTTACACTAAACATGTCTGGTCCAAGCACAATAGAGAAGAGAAATA